AAGTAGTAAGAGTTTGGCTCTATGTGGTACCCAAACCCAAGAAGTCTGCTGGAGTTTGGATATGGCACCTGAACTAGGATATATATTCAGCATATCCCTGGTACTTGAAACTGAGTGAGTAGCTAAGATTGCCTGGAAAGAGTATGTGCAGCCTGATTTTGAGAAATACTGATGTTTAAAAAACAGATACAACTTCATAAAAAAGAAGTAAAACAAATTAACAACAAATAAAAAATTCAAAGGAGATATCAAAAGAAATTGAGAATGTGATATGAAGAAAACTTCTCAGAGAGAAGGAATATTTAACTGTGAAATGTAATTGAGAATTCAAGAAACCTGGAGTGAACATTGCTTTTCAAGGGCTTAAGGAGAAACTCAATTGAATTGTAAGGTGAAGAACTAGTAACTTCAAGTACGGACAACCAGTATAATTTGGGTTGGGAAGGAGAAGTGACAAGGAGGGCTGCAGTTAAGGGAGCTTCTCACTGGACAGTAAGAAGCCATGGTAAAGATATGAACAAGAGAATGACACAGTGGAAAAAAAGTTTTCACCAGAATGTGAGAACATATGGGGTAGCAGATATAGATGCACACCCCTAGGTTTTATTGCTCTGAGCACTGGCTGCTTTGGCTTATATCTGACATTAAAAGATTCTTCTTCCTCTAGTATATCCAAGAGTCCCCCAGGATACTGAAATGAACTTGTCCCAGTGACGTGCTACTGCCCACACTAGACACACCCACTCATAGCCAAACCCTGGCCCCAACAAGTGCAATCTGGTGCCATTTCAAGATCCTCAACAGCTTGTCTTGGTGTTGAGGGTTGCAGCTACTGGTGGGGCTGGCAGACAAGTACTCACATCACTGTTGTTGCTGCCAAAAAGGAGGGGGCTCACAAATTGTCCATTTGTGCTAACTCCCATTAGACCTCTGCTGGTTCACCCAGGCAGAGACTCCTACAAAGAAACAACTGCCTTTCTCCTCCTCTCCCTCATCCCTTTCCTCTTCTCCCTTCCTCGTCCTCTTCCTCCTCTTCCTCCCCTCTTCCTCTTTCTCTTCTTCCTCTTCCTCTTCCTCCTTCTTCTTCCTCTCTCTCTCTCTTTCATTCTTTCTGATGTTTAGTAATAATAGCTCTCTGAGGGCCAGAAAGTTCTTAACTCATTTAAATATCACAGCAACCCCTGAGGCAGAAGAAACTAAAACACGGAAAAGTGACAAAATTTGACCAAGTTTATAATATGGTATCCATATGAAGTATCCCCCCAAGACTCCTGTACTGAGAGCTCGATCCTCAATATAGCAATGTTCAGCAGTAGGACTGAGAGAGGTGAATGGGTCATGAAGGTGCTGACTTCATCAATGAATTTGATCCATTGATGAGTTCATAGGTGAATGGGCTGTTAGGAGGTGGACCCTGGGTGGAGGAAGCAGGTCACTGAGGACACACCTTTGAAGTCTGTATCTTGTCCTCAACTTTCTCTCTCTCTGACTCTTCCCTTTTCTCTCTGCTTCTTGCCTGCCATGAGGTGAGCAACATTGCTCCACCACAACCCTCTGCAGTGATGCTCTACTTCAGCTCAGGCCCACAGCAATGGAAATAACCAACTGTGGACTGACACCTCTGAAACTGTGAGTCCAAATAAATTTCTCCTTTAAGTTATTTTTGTCAGGTATTTGATCACAATGAGGAAAAGTTAACTACAGAAAATTGGTACCAGGAGTGAGGCTAAATGATCAAGGTAATTTCTGTATTATTCATCTTTCTGTTGCTGGCACAAAATACCTGACATCCAAAATTTAAAGGAGGAGATGTTTAATTTGACTCATGATTTCAAAGGATTCAGTCCATGATTGGCTGGGTCCAAGGTAGAAACTTGGGGTGGAAGCATGTGGTGGGGGAAAATTGCTCACTTCATGGCAGTCAGGAAGCAGAGAAGGAAGGAAAGAGCTCAAGAAAAATTATCATATTCTTGAAAGTCACATTCCTAGTGATCTATTTCTTCCAAATATGTCTCACTTCCAAATAGTCCATTCAACTATGAACTCATCAGTGGATGACCTATTGATGACGTTAGTGCCCTCAATAAATAAGTTTTGGGGGAACATTTCATATTTAAACCGTAACAGTCACAAATTAATAGACATGGGGGCAGGATTATATGCAGGCAAGTCTGGCATGGAGGCCAGACTCAAAACCTCCACTCTATTTGCTACCTGAACTTGATGCTGAGGGTGCTTTCACTGCCTAAAAGATGCCTGTTCCCCTCATGGTGTAGTCTCTTATGCTTTTCTGAAATTTGGCTGCAGATTCCACCCTAATTTATTGGAAATATTTTTATAGCTAGTTTTGTAATGGAGGCAAATGGTCTCAATTTCTGAGCCTTCTACAGATTAGTGGGTATGATTAGATGGATAATTCTACCCACAAACAAGAGTTAAAAGATCAGCCAGGATGCAAATATATCCAGAAATCAAGACAGCCTGATACCTAACACTTCTTACTTACAAGTACCAGGGCTCCTACACAAACCAAGTGTTCTATTAGCCAAATATTGACCTAAATGAGGTGCACTGGATAAACTAGAGCCCCCCCCTTCTGACCCATGTAAGATTATTACTATGCTAGAATGTCTGCTATTTTGACTACTGAGAGCAAAAAAATTAAGCTCATAATAATCATGTCTTATTTTCCTTTTCTCCTTATAGAGATATTTCAAGGACAAGAATCAATTCTCTTCCTAGCCATGGCTTAGAAAATCTTAAGAAGTTGAGGGCCAGGTCAACATATAACTTAAAAAAGCTTCCTAGCCTGGAAAAGTTTGTTGCCCTCATGGAAGCCACCCTCACCTACCCTAGCCATTGCTGTGCATTTGCAAACTGGAGATGGCAAATGTGAGTTCTCCCATGTCCATCCCTGGGGCTTGGCTTGGGTATTTCCCCAGGGTAAAACTCAGCCTACAACTTCCACATATCTGAGATATGAAGAGAATGCATTGCAGTGATACCTGGGTGGTTGAAGCCCTGATGCATGTTCTAGATCAAAGATTCAGTTTTGTGGAGGATAAGCAAGGGATGGGCTCATAATTTCTTTGCAAATAGGTCCACAGAAGAACAGTACCCATATTCTGTTAAATATTAAATTGGAAAACATCAAGCAGAGCATCTGACTCATAGGTGATGCTTAATAGTTAAGCTTTTTCCTTTTGTAAATATGGATTTATGCAGAGTCTCAAACTCTGCACCCCATAAATCTCCCACCCTACTAGCTTTGGAACTGAGGAACAAAAGTATCACAACAAAGGCTGATGTACACATTTGTAACACATCCCAACCACACTCCACCTGTCCAGTCCACTCTCAGATTTTAGCAACTCATGGAGAGGACAAAGATGGAGACATCTTTTCACTTTGGGTTCAAAGAAGAGCCAGTTCAAGGATGTGCAGGATGAAAGAGGATAATCCAAACAGACATGAGTCCTGGTAGTTAATTGGTTTAAAAATTGGGGTAATCATAGACAGGATCTGGAGAGAGTAGAAACTGAGTGGCTTTGAAGATTGCACGTTTCAGATATTTCAAAGAATGTTGGAGGTAAGAATCTGTTGAATATCAGGAGTTCTTGAAGCCCCCACTCTCTCCTGAGCTCTCTGATAGATTCCACACCATGTAGTTGCCCTCAATCCCATGATGCCTTTTCACTACTCTGTTCAGTAGCCCAGCACAAATACAGCTGCCCTGTGATAACATTTTACTGTTTAACAGTCTCAATTACTCAGTTTTCAACATACATTGAGCTGGAAAGGTACACATATTCCTAGCTTAAAAACAAAACAAATCAAAAAAAAAAGCAACAACACAGTTCATACCCTAAAATGTTTTCAAAGTCACCGGGGGCACTCAGACATATTTGAAGGATCTGCAGGGAAAGGGCTGCTTATAAGAATGAGCAAACATCACTGGGAGTCTAGTCAGAATCAGGCATTCCTCACAGAATAGCTCAATGGCCAAAGAATTTCTTCCTGACTATGAGAATTCTTAAGGGCCTTGGCTGAGGCAAGAGGATGGCTTCTTTTATATTCCAGACAAGAATTATTCTAGCCAGGGTGAGAAAAAGATACCAGTTTGCTGCCAGAACCCTACGAATGAATACCCGTTGGGAGAAATCTAAGGTCAGTGTAAGAGCAGTGCATGGCATGCTGTTTGGCCCAATGCCAGCATGCCACAGGGCTCTATTATCTTATCATGTTGTTCAGATGCCTGTATCTTACCACCTCCTAGCTGTATAGACATAGCCTTGGGGCTCACCCAACCAAAAATTGTAGGGCTGCCTTATGTGGCTGACCCCAGCAGACCACGAGGTCCTTATCCCTCGAAGTTCCTGCTGTTACTTACCATTAGGGCCCGTTAGGATGCAGCAAGCAGAGGCCTACACTTCCTCCTTGACATACCCAAATGTGGGTGTTGGATTATTTTTTTAAATTTAACAAATTCATACACACAAACACAATATAAAATAATTATGCTTTTCAGAAGAAAAATCCCAGGATATATTCCTACAATAGTGTCATTTCATTACATATCATGGAAGATATGGTTTGGTGATAGGATTCAAGTTTAAAGCTGTGTCCTCATTTGGAAATAGTGCCCACAATGTACCGAGAAGGCCTTCATTCCTGTGAGATTTTAGCCAATGGCCCTCCTGGAATCTTGTTGAAAGGATGGGTCAACCACACCCCTCACATATCATTGAACCAGATACAATATTTCCTTATCATGGTCCTATGTTCACCTAGTGTTTTTTTACTCTTATTTATTCTTTAATTTTTCTTGTGCTTAGGTCATTTCTTCACAACTGGACTGTAGATTGATGCACTGTGGCACATGCCTCTAAGTACCCACATGGGGCTCTCAAAGCACCCACCATCATCCGTCTTCATGTGGCTGACGCTTGCTGAGTACTCACTGGCAGGCACTATAACACTTTGCATCTTTATTGCTAATATCGTAAACATAATATCATCCTTGTCATTAATATTATTCCCTTTTCACAAAGGCAGAAATTGAGGTTCAGAAATACTTGATAGTTGCTGACCAAACTCAGATTCCAACCTCTGCCTGTCTCCAAAATTCCAGCTCTGGGACATTCTGCTAGGCCACTCTAAGCATCTGTTCACTGATTGATCAGGGTCTAAGAGTAGCACTGTTTAAATCAACCCTAAGCCAAATTCTCAACTCTTGACCAAAGCACTGCAAAGGCAAGATTGTATTTCCCTCAGGTCCACCTTCATTGTTATTCTTATCTCAGAGCCATACATCAGTCACCTTTCCCCTAACTTGAGTCAAGGTCACTTGTTTCAGGGAAGGGAAGCATCAATATTTAGGATATGTTGGTCGCAACACCAAGAATCAGCATCTGCACAGAAGCCCACCATCAACTACAGGAAGTAAAAGCCATCTCTTGATGGTTAAGTTTGATTGCATTCCAGTAACCCAAATTTGCAATCCACAAGTGCCAGGTTACTTACTTTCTGATTCTAAAGTTGGGCTGCAGCCAGTCCAGTGACAGGATTTAGGAGTCAACAGTTAGGTTGAAGAACCACCTGAGCCCTCTAGGCCCATCTCTATGCCTTACTTTTCTTCTAAGAACACTAATTAATTCAGATTTTCTCAACTCTGATTCCATGCACTTTCGATTACCTGTGCTCTAATTATTTACCCTCTGAGTGCAACCTATGACTGATTGCAGACATCTTATCAGTTTCTAAAACAAAAGATGACACTTTCTTCAGCAAAAGAAAAAATATATCCCTTGGGCCAAGGAAAAATGACTTCCTGGCAACTCACTTCACTTCCCAGAGGTGAGAGAAGGAAGGAGAGGTTTCTCTCTCACCGGCCCTGCTCACTGGGGTGGTGGGAAATTTCAGTTCAAGTGCCAGGTGCTGAACAAGCACTAATATTTTTGAATCCAGTGGAGCTGTACCTCATCCACTCCTCCAGTCTCCTGTCTCCTTCTCATGAGTGCTTTTGAAAATGTTTAATACTCCATCCCTGCTCACTGAGATTATGTTAATGTTTGAAAAAATGCTGCATTTAACATTGCTATAAACTTGACCCTTGGTGAAACAGGGAGAGGTAGAGATGGATGGCTAGGTAGATAGACAGACAGACAAAGATGTATGATTTTTTTCCATTCAAAAATATTCTCACTGTGAAACATTCCTGCTTCTTAAAGCTTTGCTTCAAAATAGAAGTATTACCTTCTACGTTTACATGCAGAGTACTGATAGAATAGTAATGCATATTCTACCAATAAATATTCATAGTTGAATATTTATAATTTAGATTCCATTCAAATCTTGTAAGTGCCTCTATCCTGTTGACAAGGCTTCCTGTATGTTTGGGCTTAAAGGGGAAACTGAGACAGGAAAGTGAACCCATAAAGAATGAGGCTCGTAGAGGATGGTACAATCTTGTAAAAAACTAGGCCCTTTGCAACCTGCATTTGCTCTCTTGCAAACTCACTAGGGAACTATTTAGTGTGAGTCAAGCTTACCTTGAAAGATGAACACATGTGTGAGGCTTATTGTAGTCCCAGGGGTGTGAGATAATACAGAACAGGGCCCTTATATCATTTCAGGCAAATTAGCTGGCCACTCAGGAGTCAGGTGCCAAAGACCATGGTATAGGACCAGCTGAAAGCCAACTTCAAACTCTGATTCTCTAATTTGTGGAGATAAAACACACAAACAATTCTCATTTGTGTCAGAGAATGAACTGATCATCTAGTGATTGGAATAAAGCTGATGCCCTCCCCAGGCATATTAAGAAATAGCTGAATGGAGACTGGGGAAGGAAAGAGTAGAGATGATATGAGGTCTGTAAATTACTTCCACTTAACAGCAAGGTTTGGCTAGTCCCAGGCGCCTTCCTCCCCACAGTCGGGTTGTGGCCAGATGGTTTCCCCTGTGGGCCATCCAACTCTAGAAATACAGATATGAGTTGTTCTGTTCATTTACAGTAAGCAACATTAACCCTTGAGCTCAGTCTCAAGGGCAAACAAGATGTTACAAGAAGGGAATACAATCTCAGGAAGAAACCCCATTATTTCTACCCTGCAAAAAGACAGTGATGTATTTGCCATTCTGGATCCAGGATGTTGATTCTATTCCTTTTTTTATTTTTCTAGCTCTGAACTTCATCCAATTTGCAACAAATCTATTTTAAGGCAAGAAGTCAATGATATGACTCAGGCTGGGGCTCAGAGAGTCTCTCTGACAGAAGATGATGAGTCCAGTTACGGCAGAGCCTTTGACATGATGTATGGTGAATTTGACTATAATTTATGCCAAGAAGTGGTTGATGTGACCTGCTTCCCTAAACCAGATGCATTCAACCCCTGTGAAGATATAATGGGGTACAACATCCTCAGAGTCTTGATATGGTTTATTAGCATCCTGGCGGTCACTGGGAACATCACCGTGCTGGTGGTCCTTACCACCAGCCAATACAAACTCACAGTCCCCCGTTTCCTTATGTGCAACCTGGCTTTTGCCGATCTTTGCATTGGAATCTACCTGCTGCTCATAGCATCAGTTGATGTCCACACCAAAAGCCAGTACCACAACTATGCCATTGACTGGCAAACTGGAGCCGGCTGTGCTGCTGCTGGCTTTTTCACTGTCTTTGCCAGTGAGCTCTCAGTCTATACTCTGACAGCCATCACCCTGGAGAGGTGGCACACCATTACCCATGCCATGCAGCTGGACTGTAAGGTGCAGCTCCGCCATGCTTGTAGCATCATGGTGATGGGCTGGATCTTTGCTTCTGCAGCTGCCCTCTTTCCCATTTTTGGCATCAGCAGCTACATGAAGGTAAGCATCTGCCTGCCCATGGATATTGACAGCCCTCTATCACAGCTGTATGTCATGTTCCTCCTTGTGCTCAATGTCCTGGCCTTTGTGGTCATCTGTGGCTGCTACATGCACATCTACCTCACAGTGAGGAATCCTAACATCGTGTCCTCTGCTAGTGACACCAGGATCGCAAAGCGCATGGCCATGCTCATTTTCACTGACTTCATCTGCATGGCACCCATTTCTTTCTTTGCCATTTCTGCCTCCCTCAAGGTGCCCCTCATCACTGTGTCCAAGGCAAAGATTCTCCTGGTCCTGTTCTACCCCATCAACTCCTGTGCCAACCCTTTCCTCTATGCCATCTTTACCAAGAACTTTCGCAGGGATTTCTTTATTCTGCTGAGTAAGTTTGGCTGCTATGAAATGCAAGCCCAGATTTACAGGACTGAGACCTCATCCACTGCTCACAACTCCCACCCAAGAAATGGCCACTGCTCTTCAGCTCCCAGAGCCACCAATGGTTCAAGTTACATACTTGTCCCTCTAAGCCATTTAGCTCAAAAGTAAAACATAATGTGAAAAGTATGTGCATGTTGAATGAAAATTAGGCCTTTCCTTTGAAGAGTATGCCACAGGACAGCTGCCAGAGTGTTTCTGCATATTTCATCTAATTGAATCTTCCTAGATACCTTTAAGGTAAATTCATCAGGAACTATCAATTTCAGGTGACACATTAGGAAAGGGAATTCTTTTTTAATAATAATAACTACAATGTGATACTGTATTATACATGCTTTACGCCTTATAATGTGCAAAGTGTTTTGCTCAGATTATATCAACTGATCCTCATGAAAGTCCTATTAAATAGTCCAGGAAGGGATTATTCTTGGTACTTTACAAATGAAGAAACCAAAACTAAACAAGCTCAGTGGCCTGTTTAAAGTTGCTTGGCTTGTGAGAGGCAGAACAAGGGTGAAGTATTCTGACTTCCAGAGAACTTCAAAGAAAAGGACCATAGCAAGCATTCATTCACTCAGACATTTATTGAGCACCATGATGGCTTTACAATGGGTCAACTTGGATAGGCTAACCTCTCCCAGAATTCCCTTTTGCATGTGTTTTTAGAGTAGAGCACAGAGAAAGTTCTTGGAAAGATGAGAAGTCAGAAAAAAGTAACAGCCATTTTGTAGTTCAACATAGGTGATACCTCAGTTCAAGAATTTGATTCTTTCCACAATTCTGGCTGCAAACCAAGCTAGATGAAAAACAATCAAATTCAATAGTTAGGTTCAATGTTGACATTATGGGGAAATTTGATTCGGTTTTCATCCAGTTCGGTTTATGAGCAGAATCATGGAGACAACTGAGTTGGTGAACCGAGGTACCACTGTATTTTGTTGCTGATGCTGGTTTGGCTCATTGCTGTGAAGCAGTTGCTGGGTCTGCAATTACTTTAGTCTCCCCTGATCCTTCTTCAGGTTCTCTGATTCCTGGGCCATGTGTGTGTGCTTGTGTGTGTGTGTGTGTGTGTGTGTGTGTGTGTGTTTGTGTGTGTGTGTGTTTGCTCCTTGATGAAGGGTCTGACTTCTACAGGATACTTTTGTCATCAAGGTTGGAGCAAAAGGAATGGAAACAGTGCTCCCTTTATCTTCCTGGGGTGGCACCTTGTACTTGTTGCCTCCAGAATGCTCATGATCAGATGTGGAAACAACTTCCTCACAGAGATTGGTCAGCCAGCCCCCAACTGTACATGCCAATTCCCCATAACAAGTATTTATATTTATGTCCACATGACTCTGCTTCTCTGGTGAATACTACATAACAGAAGATACATACCTCTAATATGTGGATTTTAATATTAAGGACCCCACAGCTTGGGAATCAGACAGAGCTGAGAGTTTATTCAGACTCCATAATCAGCCAGGACTCAACCTTTTCAGCCTCAGCTTCTTCCTCTAAAAACTAGAGTTGGTCATGTACCTAAATTTTGGGCTCATCACAAGAAGTAGATAAGAAGATGGTTGTGAAGTGCCTAGTTCTATAGCTGGTTTGGTGCATAATAGTTTACTTCTCTCTGCCTGGACCAGTGCCTGGACTAGTAACCACCTCTTCTGACATTCAGTCTAGAACACATTTTATTACAGCATATTGCTCCTGATAAATAACCACACTACTCGCATCTATTCTCATAAATGACCCCATCCAAATAATTGAATCATAAATATGCACCATAAATTTCACCAAGCACCGTGCCTTGGCCAGACAGCCCACAAAGCTCTGAGTATCCTCTTTCAATGTCAAAACCATTCCTTCCTCCTCTTGCTCTGTGGCAAACATTTCAAAAGTGGATCCCAAATGCATTAATGAGGAAGTCTTTATACAGGCAGAAGAAAAAACAATCATCTCTGCCCATCTAACCTGGCGCCATCTCCATGTAGTATGAGCATCAAATGAAAAACTAATTTTCCTTGTAAATAGTTTAGAGCATGCCCCCTCAAAAAAGAAAGCCACCTTAAAAAAGTAGTCTAGAGTTGTGCATCTACTATTGTGGCCACTGGCCACATGTGGCCGCTAAGCCACTAGCCACATGTGGCTGCTAAGCACTTGAACAGCCTGAACTGAGAGGTGATACAAGTGTAAATACACACTGGATTTCAAGTATTGAGTGCCTAAGAAAAAGACTGTAAAATAGCTCTATACTTCTTACATTGGTTACATGCCATAAAATACTATTTGGATATATTGAGATAAATATATAACACACTTAAAATATAAGTTTCACCTATTTCTTTTTACATATTTATGTAGCTTCTAGAATGTTGAAAATTATATACGTGGCTTGCATTTGTGGATTGCATTACATTTATATTGGAGACCAGACCACTGACCTAAAGTTCTCTGAAAACAAAGGATTTGCATTTAGCATTTTTCTCCCCAGCCCCATACCCCAGTTTGCTGCACTACTGGGCTGTCACAACTTCATCTGCAGTCATTCTTCTTTCTTATTTGTGGCCAGAGGCAAAGTATTTCTGAATTTGGACTTAAAAGCAGTAGAAGCTAAATTATAAGTATGACTGAGTAGTAATTATCTCACAACATAGCTGCTAATGACACATTGGTTTAAGAGATTGTGCCTCTGACAGGCAAGAATATATTCAAAAACAAACACACCAAGGGGCTCCGAAGACATCCCTCCCAGCACTCTGTCACCAGGATGCTTCTTGGTAAGAAATGGGACTTTTCTTAAATAAGCAAACATATTTTTGGACAGCTAAATTCAGTGTTCTTAAACCCTTTAGACGAGTCTCACGGGAAAGAAATATGTCCTGCACTTCTGAGTTTTGGAATACTTTCCACATTTTAGGGGAATAAAAACCACTGGAATCCAGTATATCAATCCCTCTTCCCTAAGAGTAGTTGTCCAGGTAATACATCTAAAGCTGTCCCTCTAGCGTGGTGGGCTCAGTCCCAGAGTAGTGACCCAAATGGAAACACACACACACACACACACAGACACACACACACACACACACACACACACACACAAAGGAAGCTTCAAAATAGGACTGGGGGAGGAACTCACTGATAGAGCACTTTCCTAGCATGTGGAAAGTCCTGGGTTCAATCCCTAGCACTGCAAAACACTTTCAAAATAATACAAGAAATAATAAAAGTTTCTAGGGTTTTTTAAGCTTTCATTTCAATTTTCAAACACCATGAAAAGGACTAATAACCCTCAAAGACTTCTTAAAGTACCTACATCTCTGGGGGCACCAGGGGTTAAAATATTAACAGCTGGTTCAGCCCAGGTACTGATCTCTCAAAATGGACAATGGCCATGAACATCCATTGGGCCATCCTGGTGCAAACAAGGTAAATGCTAGCCCTGAATGTTTTCCTCCTACCCTGACCTCACTGCACTGCTACCGTGTCTCTGTCTCAAACATTTCCCCATAAGCCCTCCTCCAGCCTTATCCTGATGACTTCTCCCTTGCCTTTCTTCCTTCTCCCTTTCTTCCTTCAGATATCACCTTATGGAATCCCAAGAGAGAACTTAAAACCTTTCTTGGAGGGGTCAAAACAAAGAGACCGAATGGATAAATACAGAAATTCTTAGGGGGCAGAGTGAAGAGATTAACTAAGTGTGTGTATTGATATTATCTTGCTACACACAGCAGTAAGGGAGAGAGTGGCACTGGAAAGTGTTGCTTCACCACAGGGCCCCATGTATTGAAACAGGGAATCCTTCAGATCTTGTTTCAGGAAGGAGGGAGAAAGCAAGGGAAGGAAATCTTGCCTCACCAAGATGCTACAGCTCTTCCCACAAGTGGCACTGTGTTTTATTTAGTCCAGCATCATAGGGCATTCATAAGAAAATCAGGAAATGATTTCTTGAATAATGGCCTCAATCTTTGAGTTTATAAAGGGTTCTATTTTGTGAGGAAAGTTTAGAAAGGCACAAGCAAGAAATTAACATTCAGCTTCTGCATAGGAAAGGGAACTGGAGAGAGTAGATAAATATATACAATATTTTGTTGGTTTGTTTATTTAATATATAACCTAGTCCATTAAATACACTAAATAAAAGTCATCATAAAATAAAGCTCAGCTTTGAGGTTGTGCTGTTGGCTTTCACTAAAAATGCTTTCAGCCACAAGAAACAAAAAGTCCTGCTGCAAATAACTTAAACAATAAGATCAATTGTATAATATGCTTCTGGCTTAGATGAGAATTTGATGGTCTCAAGGACCCAGGACCTTTTTATCCTTTGGCTCTATCTTCCTTGGAGAATTGTACACACCTTTCTCCATAGGAGTAAGGCTGCTGCTGCAACTTAAGATGCCACATGCAGTCATGACCAAATCTATAAATGAGAAGAGAACTCTTTCCTTCCATGCATCTCTCTTTTCAAAAGAAAGATCATTTCTCTCTGAAAGACTCTAAGAAATCATCCCTTCCTATCCATTAACTAAGACTGCTTCCCTGGCTGCAAGAAGTACCACAATGAGGTTCTGCCACATACATCCTCTGTAGAGGAAGTAAGGTTCTTCCAGACAGGAAGGTGAAGTCCAGAGCTGGATTAAGGGAAATGGTTGAGTGGGCAACCTAACTGAGTCAACTGAATCCTGAATCATGGGATGAAGCCAACTAGGCTCAAGGTCAATGTGATAAACTGGATTGTCAACTTGATAGGCTTTGGCATTTATCTGAAGGGCATAGATGTAGGGGATTAGTATGTACATTTCTGGGTATGTCTGGGTGGGCCACAGAGATGTGTCCTTGGGGACTATAACATGTCTATGGCCTTTCCTCTCTGGCACTGACTGCCATGCGATGAGCAGCTTTGCTCCACTACACCTGTCTTTCACAATGTTCCTGTCTTTGATCCAGCTGACCCTGGACTATACCTCTTAAACCATAAGCCAAATAAAATTCCTCTCCATTAAGTTGTGAGTGTCAGGTACGGTAAAATAGTGCCTCAGTTTTCAAACAGAAGTCCTCAGCAAAATTTTGCTTCCATTCCTGAACTCTACATCAGGTGACAAACATGACTGCAGCCATCTTCCCCACATAAACACAAATGCAGCCATCTTCCCCAGAATCATGGAATGAATTAAGTTTGTGAACCAAAGTACCACTGTATTTTGTCCCAGCTAGAGGAAAGCTGACTGATACAGCCAGCACCTTCACATCTCTCACATTTCCTGTCCTCATCTTTCTCATCTCTTCCTCTCTTTATTACCTGCAGTCTTGTACCTTCTCCCTATGATAGTGTGATCCCTCCCTGGAACAAACCCTCTTGTTACTCAGATCTGAAGGCAAACACTAGAGGCAGCCATTGTCAAAGAAAGCTCCTGTTTAATGCAAGTTTTCAAAAAGAAAAAAAAAAGCCAGAAGAAAAAAGAACCAAAGAACAAAAAGAACTGAATTAGAGAAAGAAAAACAAAGGTATGAGGAGAAAAAAGGGAGGAGGGCAAGAAAATTAAAGAAATGGACAGTGTGGAAGAAAGCGAAGCCCTGGCTCTGTGCCTTCATTCAGGCAGGTGCTCATTTTGTCTTAAGAAAATTCTTTCAGATCATTGCAAGGTCAACATCAAATAAGCTCAGTCTTGGATCCCAGGACAAAGGTATGATGGTTACCATGATGCTGTAAGTTTCAGAGATCTACACTGCATGGTCTGGCTCTCCAGATCTAGTTTAAAGAATAAGTAGTTGGAAAGCATTCCTGAAGATTCCAAAGCCTACTCCTCTCAGATCTTAGACAATGTCAAGACAGCTTGATCCTTCTCGTGACCCAAGGCTTCCATCATGTTCTGTCCTCTCCAAGCTTATTAGCCACAGTCCCAAAGCACACTGGATGAGCTGTGGGAACTAAATACCAAGGGGGGTGTTATGGTTTATACCTAGATATCTCCCCCAAAGCCTCTGCACCTATAGGTGGGGCTTTGGGAGATGATTATATCATGGGGGTGTGAACTCATCAGGGGATCGATTAAGCTGTGAATTTATAGGTCAATGTGATGTTGGGAAGCAAAGCTGGGTTGGAAGAGGTGGATCGCTGAAAGTGTATCTCCCCTCCTTCCTCCCTTGATTGCTTATACCATGAGTAATTCCTCTCTGTCATGCCCTTCTGCCATGTCACCCTGCATAGGAGCCACCTGACTATGCACTGAAACCTCTGCAAACTGTAAGCTAAATAAACCTTTCCTACTGTAAGTTGTTGGTGTCAGGTATTGTGTCCCAACAATGAATAAAGTGACTAAAACAAGTGGCAAAAGCACTCTAGCTATTGTGTTCTAGCATCTTATCCTTCTGTTTTCTTTACAACACAGCACTGCTTGAACTCTGCAATATTTCTGCTAACCACACACAAAGGAAAAGAATATCATTTAAAATCATCTAACTTTTAGTTATATTGTCCAGATGATAAGATGCAGAGAACATTTGTAACTCTGCATTTGAAGAAATTTCAGGCAACTTTTCCCCCACGTATCATTAGCTAGGGTCATTTAAGCTGCCGGGTATTAATGAGTTGCATAAAGATGAAGTTTGGCTAGAGATGACTTTAAGTTGTTTCACACACAGCAGAAGCTATATCACAAGGTTCTTACTTCAAAAGAATGGATCCATCAAACAGCTTGGTGTTTTCATGATAGCAGTCAAGAAATGATGATGGTGAAGGCCACCCAGGGCTCCTGGTAGGACTCTGCCAATCCAAAAACTCTCAGCCTCCTGTAGTTCACCAAGTTAGAAGATGCTGTGTTTCAGGAGCAGAAGAATCATTCTCTTCTACCCTTGCCAGTCAGGCCAGAAGATGAGCCTGAGAAGTGAGTGAACTGCACTCAGCATCATCTACTGCTCACTACAGTCTTGCTTCACTCTCCATTGCAGACAGGCATGGAAATATAGAAACCAGGGATTTCTTTATCCAGGGCCCTCATTCAAAGATGGAAAAAAAAGACACAAAGAAAGGAAAGGGTATATCCACAGTCATATGGCTGATAGTGACCAATGGAGAATTCAGCTGTGACTTCCATACAGAGCTCATCCTTATAATTTTCTCCTTAAATCATGGAGCTTGGCAGCACACACACACACACACACACACACACACACACACACACACCACCTAAACAGAACCAGCTTCCCTAATTGAGAGGTCAACCTAAAACACCACCCATTCTGGATAGTTAAATACCAAGGCTGGTTTTAAAAGACCTTAAAAGAGCTGTAAGAATTCACATCCTTTGCCTTTCCATTTGTACTGATTCCCAATCTTTGTTGACTCAAAATGCTCCACTAGAAGAGGAAAAATTAGTTACAAGGAAATTAGTCACCACCACAGATAGGTAAAGATGAAATTTGGCCAGGGAAGGTTTTAAGTTGTTTCACAATCAGCAGAAGCTATACCCATCTCCACCCTAGCATGTGCTTTTAAATCCCCTTAAGGCACCTGCAAACCCTCTACCTCCAAATAGATTTAGCTCATCCTCTATGTACAGAAAGGGAAGGGGGGGGGGGGGAATAGGATTGCTGGATTAAATGAAGAATAAGAGAGGAAAGGGAAAAAATGTTGAAGAAGATAAGGAAAGAATGGAGGAGGGAAGAAAAGAAAAAAACCTGTAAAAATAATATGAAGAATAGACTGTCTCTGCCTGCAGAGGACCATAATATTGATTATGCCCAAAGCAAGCTGTGAAGAATTAACCCCATAATTGGCTTGTTTTGAGAAGTGAGTCTGCCCAAAGCCTACATGCCAAAGTCAGAGTAACTTGCACCCAGATTCCATTCCCACAACTAAAACCTTGTGACTAGAAGGGCAATGTTCTAATTACAACTATTTATTTTGTCTATTCTGTTCCTAATTTGAGAATGCTTTATCTTGTCCTGTATGAGCCTTGTTTATATTAATTTTGATAGAAACTGCACGTAGTTTGCCTTTACCCCAATTAATTACCAATAAAAGTCAGTGCCTGGGACTGGCCAGGACCTTTGTCCGTTGCACCGGCATTGGTCATCCCAGCACCCCACTTTCTCTCTCTTAATACTGTCTTTTAGTGTATTTATTTCTCAGGCCTATATTGTATACTGAGCAGAGTACTGAAACTTGACTACAGGAGCCTCCGATGTCTGCCCATTAAGTGATGGGAAACTTTCACAAACCACATCCCCACAGAGAGCCCAACAAAATTCTCCTACCCATCTATTTCCTGTGAATCATGTATGGCTTCCAGTCTAAGCCTGGAATGCCGCAGCCAAGGCAATGCTGGTTGGGGAAATGGCCCAGAGAGCCTCCATCCACCTGGAGCTGTTGGAGCACTGGTTGTGAGTTAATCAAGCTGGTATACCACACCCTCATTCCTCAGAAGTTTGGAACACTTAAGGAAGCTTGGCTTTCTATGTATTTCAGTGAACCGTTTTAGTTCCAACTTCAAGAACCAGCTCATTTGAGAGAGGGACTCTAATAAAAAACATGAGGGCTAACATTTGGAATTGTGCAAATATCTGGTGTTGGGATAAATTACATCACTGGTAGCCACCTATCAAAAATCTAAGTCTGAATAAGCTCACACAATTTAGTTTTCCATTCATTTATTCACTCATTTGACAAATACTTATTGAGTGCCTATTATAAGCCAAGCCCCATTCCATCACTGGAAATACAGTAGCAAATAGACAAAAACTTCAGCTGTTTGAAGACTTCACATTCTAGTAAAGGTGACAAATGACATCCAAGCTAAATAAGTAAATGCATTGATGCTAGTCAATAACAAGGTCTGATGACAACAATAATTCCAGGAGGGAAGCTACAATATTAAACATCAAAGAGGACCCCCCAGGCTCACCGAACAGCCACCAGCTCAGCCACTCAGGCAAAGCAGGTGTGGGCTGACTGCGCCCTGCTCAGTCTGGCTCGCTCCGCCCACTCACAACCAGGAGACTTAGCCAGTACTTGGATCCACACTACAGATGCACTACAGATGCACAGCGGGGCTCAAAGGCCACTGTCCTGAGCTGCAGAAGTGAACAACAGAGAAAGGGCCTCTCTGAGGCTCCCTGACGAAAACTGAAGCTCACTGGAAAAGTGAAGAGAATCTCTGCAATAAAGGCGCACCAGACCACCATGCTTGGTAGGGACCATCACCTCCCATCAGAACCTGGACTATCTTCAGGGCAAAGGCAGCTGGAACCTGCAGTAGAACCTTGAAGAGTTCAACCCTGCAGGAGGACAGGGAGCTCAACTTGGGACTTGCAGCCAGAAATCTGCCTGAATATCACAGGTCTGTGACTGGCTTACTGAGACTCATTGACTTAATAACTGCACACTGCTGCCCACATTGTCTATTGTGACAGCAGAGGCATACCCTGAAGGAGACCCTTCATTTTTATCTTTTATTTTTATTTTCTTTTTCTTTCTTTTTTTTTGTTAAATTCTTTTATTGGTACATTGTAGGTATACAACACAATTACATTTCTCATTGGGAATTGTACCTCTACATAATGCATCTTGGTTCTTATTTT